AAGAAGTATGACTTTTCTGTCCTTTACGTTCTTGCTCCATGCGTGTGCATTTTTCACCCTCCACCCTCCAGAGACACATTGTGTAATAAGATCATTATCAGGGTTAAAATGAGAATGTAGTTGCTCTCTGTGAGATTGCAGAGAATGAGATCAAGTGGGACAAATTAGCTCTTCATTGCTGTTATTTTGAGGGTTAACCTTCATGAAGGAAGAGGGGTGGGTTTTCAAATAAACAGAGCAGACATATAATCCTTGGTGCTGTAGTGTAATTTTAGGAGACGTAGATTATTTCTGGAAAAAAAATATTAATAGTAAACAGTCTTAATTGTTTATGTGGATGCAATTGGACTGTTCAGGTTTCTTTCAGGAAGCCTTTTAATGAAACGCCCACGCAACGTGCTCTCAAGTGATATCATATTTATGTGGAAGCCAGAACATGCCAGAGGCCTTTGTGTCCACAGTATGGAAGGACTAGAGAAGCATGCTTTCATCCTCTTGGCCCCTGCGGAGGTCAATGGGCAAAGATCTCAGTGCGGTTTCATTTTTAACAGTTCTGCCTTTAAGACCTTCAGATGACTTTGCAAAGCATTAAGTCAACGAGTAATTCTTCCATCCATCTTCCAGCTCCTTATACCAGGTAGCATAGGTCAAATAGCTGGGGTGAACCCTGGATGGGATGTCAGTCCCTGGATGGGATGTCAATCCTTCAGAGGATATAGGAATATCAATTTAGAAAGACCTACCTGTTTGACATTGGACTGCAGAAGGAAACTTGCCCAATGCCAGGAGGTATAAACTATATAAAAATCCCAGAAGAGTGGCTGTTTCTGAGATGCTGGAACCAGCCTTAGCAATCGTACCATGTTCAATATCAGATGCCGTCTGTGGCCTCGTGGGTTAGGAAAGTCAGCTGAGTATTGACCACCGGGCCCTTAACCCGCATCGCTCTGGAGACACTGGCTGAGCCCTGCTCTCTCATTTGGACATTTCTTTGGGCTTAGTAAGTCCATGTAAATCACTCATTTTAGCTGTTCGAATGCTCAGTCGCACTGTAACCGAACCTCCTGACCCTGTCTGTACTGCATTCAGAATAGCATGAAAGTAGCTTTACAGTTAGATACGAGTAAGTATACAATGTCCGCATAGGGATACATCTTTGTGCTTTGACCCTCATGCTTCCCATTTTATTAAATGTTCTGTTTTTCATATCTCTGAAATACCGCTCAGGAGGGAAATTTGAATGACAAATTTATTATGTTTTTTTCTTTAATAAACATCCATTCTTTAGACTGATTTTTTTTAAAACATGATCTTTAAAATGAACCATCAGAAACATTTTTGTTTCCTATGACAGAGTAGAAGTGTTGCAGCATGATAGTCTCAACTCAGCGGACTGTTGCGGTCCTTGTGATGTCACAGTTGCATGTGCATGTGTGACATTGACATTGCACATCGTGCAGGCCTGCTCAAGAAGAAACTGTCCACTGAGGGCCCTGTTGGAGTTCTCTTCTTAGGGCTCGAGTTTTTTGCCGCACTGTTTTACAAGGAAAAAGTGTGCAATGCTTAAGTCAGCACTTCTCACCTTTTTGGCAGACTGAGGCATGGCCTTCACTTCAGCGATGCCCAGCAGCTGCGTGAGTTTTCTGGACGTGTCACTGGGCCAGCATGTGTGAACTTTGCTGCACTCACACAACCGCTGCACATCACACGGTTCTTGCCCTCATCTTCAATCGTGTGAAGGTCTCCAAAGCCTTGGTATCTCGCAGGCCCACTCAGAGTCTGACATTCTCACCTTCATCTTCTCTTTCCAAAACCAAACAACGTATCATTGCCTTGTTGGGGTCAAAAAAATGAGTAATCACTGTGATCTTCATTTTAACTCCTGAAAGATCGCCATAGTTTACTTACCTGCTCTCACTATCCGCACAGGTGAAGAGAATGTCAAAGGCCCATTTCACTTTCATCTTCATCTTCTTCTCTTTCCAGTTTCTTTTTTCTTAGACTGAAATTTATTTGAAGAAATGCAGCCCCCAGATTAAACCAACAGTTCACTCTTCATTTTTCTGTATTTCTCCTTTCAGCTCTTAAAATGTCAAGGTGACAGCTGTAGCACAGTCAAATCTTTTTAATAGATTAAATACAGGGTGTAATGCTGTTTTCTGTCCCCCACATTGGATGTTACGATGTTGTGAGAGTGAGAGAAAGAAACGTTGTGAGACCATTCTGAGATCCTTTATCAGATTGAATCAAGCAAACATCAAATTGACATCAAACATTCACCAAATGGAAAGACCTAGAAATCCCATGGCAGTCCTGCGTGGTTTCACGACAGGGATATGTTCTGCGAAATGCATCATTGGGCGATCTTGTCATTGTGCAAACCTAGATGGTATACCTTACTACACATCTAGACTATACAGTATAGTCTAAATAACAATCAGTACAGTTTAGTAGATACATAAATCAGTAACATAGTTTTATCATTATCAAATGGTATACAGTACTGTATACTGCATATAATTGTAGGTACTATACTTTTACTCGACTGGCAGCGCAGTAAGTTTGTTTACACCAGCATCATCACGGACACATAAGTATAATTTGTTGTGCTATGGCTTTACACCGTCGCATAGGAAATTTTTCAGCCCCATTATATTGTAATCTTATGCGGTCCATTGTTACGCAGTGCATGACTGTATAGATATGCATGTATATGTAACTCTGATCAAGTTTGTGCTTTCAAAGGGCACATCTGAGAACATCTGAGAGCTTCTGCACCTTCCACTTTCACACACCCCCCACCCATCCCCAAATTGATCTCAGCGGGTGACAGAGACAGAAATAGAGCTTCCTGATACCTGGAGCCCCCAGCCTTAGAGGAAATGGGCTAATTGCTCATTTCGGACACAGTGAGCAGAGAGACGATCGGCAGGCTCTGGGGAGTCTCTGAGAATGGGGAGGATGTGTGAATGGTCTAAGTTTGGCATCACGAGTAACGAGAAAAAAAGAGTCAAAAATAACCATGACCAATGAACATTCAGTTAATCTTCATCTATTTCTTCTTAATCTACAGGATTCCTAATGGCTCCAAGCTGAAATATTCGATGTATTCGAAATATTCCTGTTATTTAAATAGCATCCTTAACCTCTTCCTCTTCAATATAGTGCCATGGTGCCACTAGAGCAGTGCTTCTCGATTGGCTTAGCCTCAGGACCCACGTCTCTCCATGGTAGTTAAGTCAAAACTGTTGGCGACTGTAAAAGTTGCAGGGGGGAGGGGTGGCAATGGTAAGTCACCTTAAATGAAGATGACCTACCAGGCAGAAACATTGCCCTAGATCCTATCCCAAGATGCACTGGAGAAACTTTGGACACCACATCAGTCCATCACAGGGGACACCATAGACTGGACATTGGTCCATCACAGGAGACATTTCAGGCAGCATTCCAGTCTCTTACAGGATACACCTTGGACAGGACGCCAGTCCATTACGGGGGATGCACTCAGTTACACACAATGAGCGATTTCATCTAGTTGTTCATCTAGCTGCATACTTCTGGCCTGTGGGCTGAAGCCCACGCACGGGGGTGGATGTGCAAACTCGACACTCGCTGAGCTGGTGGCAGGAAGCAAACTCACAGGCCTGGAAACGTGAGGCCATAGTGCTGCCCACTGAGCCAACAAGCCACCAAATAGCCATATTGTCATAGAAATGCCAAACCAGAACCAGCAATCCTACAGGCCAGCTTTAGTATTTCTGTCACAGAGTGCTGTATGTAAGTGAATTCTGTTTTCAGCTTTTGCATATATCTAGGTGCTCTTGAGTCTGTTAAGGAGCTTTTTTGTGAAACTTTTTATAGGACTTACAGTCACAGCAGACAGATGGAGGTTTTAAACTCTGTCAAGTTTTTCTTCCTGCAAAAATCCTACCATTCTGCATTCTGTGCATTTGTGACATTTGTCTCTTTTGACTGCAATTGCCCATAACCTGACTGCATTATCAGCAGGAAATTGCTGCAAATTTGCTAGCAGAAAACATAAAAATATTCAGAAGTCAAATTCCTCTGGATAGTCTTTTTGGTAATTACTCCTCTCTAAAGCGTCCTTGGGCTGTTCTTGTCAATGCTATTAAAGAAGGATCAATGTTCAATGTTTTTATTTTTAGCACCAGGAAACTGCTTGCCTGCATCCAGAATAGTTGTGGCAAATAAAAAACTAGACAATAAATACCAAGCTGTCCCAATAGTTGCTGGATCACAGTTTGTTGTTATTTGTGATCAAACATTCATTGGATATTGTTTCAAATGTGCTGGTGACTTTTCTGCTGGTTTGTAAATTCCCCTGTCTGAGGAAGCGAGGTCACCATTTCCTAGTCAGATGCGGTGGTCAGATTATCAAATAAGATGCTGAGTTTCCTTATATTACCTGAAACACGAACAAGGATTACAAGGAGAGGAAGAATATTCCAATCACACCTAACCCTATTCTTTGCTATATTCTGCAGCAAATATCAAGTGTGCCATGCGATACGACTGAGTAGGAATATCAGGCCCTCCTCTGTCCTCTACGTGTTCTTTTCTGTTTTGTTTACAAGGATAATAGAGACTGTGAAGCTTCTGAGCAGGAGAGGGTTTCTGTGTTGGTTGGGAGGTACTGAGGGTATTGTTCCAAGTGTAGTAGAGGAATGGCTCATGGGAGTTTTACTTACTCAAAAATGTTCTGAGGGCAGAAGGAATAATGATTGGTTCAGAGAGATATTCAATCAAATTGTAGAGGAGGTGGGTCTAAGCAGCTAGAGGAGGCGTAACCAAACCAATCTTTTGCTTTTGTCCCATCTCCTTTATTTGCCATCAGAATATTTTTTTGTAAGTAAAATTCCCACAAGCTTAGGATTGTCCAGAGGAATGTTCCTTGGATCCTTAGAGCTTTTCAAAGCCCATGATCCTTTCTCAATTGCTCATCATGTTCTCCTTCCTTATTTGTGGACTTTTCTCTGCAGGTGCCTGAGCGGGGAGAGGACTAAGCCAGAGCCAACGTCACATTCCCCGACTGCGAGGCCCAGGGAGGGACGGAGTCCCAACGGAGGAGGGTGTTGAAGCATAGGGACGTCCTGCATGTATTCAGCTTCTCGGCCACGCTGCTGATACCGCCCCCCCCCCCAGCCCTAACCCTAACAACGCGAAGATGTCAGGCAGAGAGCACAGCGGCCGGCAGCGCCCCTGGTCCGTGTACCGGGCCAACACCTTTGACCTCTCCGCTGAGATGCTGGGGCTCACACTGGCGGGTGAGGAAGCGTTGCCTTGGTTACCAGAATCCGATTTGACACATCATATAAAGCAGGTCTTCAGCTCTCGTTCCTCCCGTGCTGTTAGTTTCAGGTGAAAATGAGTTTCCTCATTCCCGGATAAACAGGTGTTGTTTTCTGTGCAAACCTGTTTTTTTCTCTCTTAAGCCTTATCTCATATCTCTTTGTGAGATCTTCTCCATGAAAATGAACTGGCTTGATAGAAGTCGATGGAAATCGGTTTCAACTGCCTTTTCTTCTTTGTTCTGCAGGGAACAGCCAGGACCCCGATGAGCCAGTGCTGGAGTTCAGCCTCGGTGAGCAGAGTAATGATGCAGCTGGTCAAAGAGCCAGTGACCAGTCTCTGCCTGGTCAGATGTCTGTTACAAACCAGTGTTAGATGATTTGAATTTCAGCTGTAACCTTGGTCACAGCTTCCGAAATTAGCACAGTGTCCCTGTCTTGCACCCAGGTCAATGAATGCTGCCGTGTCCAAATTTAGAAGCACCGCATCGGATGAGTTATATCAGAGATCTAGAGGAATATTCTCTGGACCAGCTATTTGAGAATTGTACCCTTGATGTTTTCAATCAGTCACCATCTTTTTTCCTGCTGTGATTGGATGAGTGACACACTACATTAACTCTATGCTCTCTCAGGTTTGCTTTTTCTGGTGAATTCCAGGCATATGTAAGGTTCACCTATGACCTACTTTGTTCTTCCAGAGGCATGGCTGTTCCAGGAATTCCTCTGCAACACTGATGCCTCTCTGTGTTTCCTATATGTTCTTAGTGCTGGACTTCCGATCATTGAATTGTCTTCTTAGGTTCTCACTTTGGTAGCAGTTGTTGTAAAGCTCTTGCCGCAATACCGCTTACACTTGTGTATGAGCATTCAGTGGAAGCTCAGCCTGGCCTCGCTCTTGCCTGGTCCAACTCCCTGACAGCTTGTATGTTTGGAATGAGGCACTTGCTTTGGCCAAAAGTATCTGCTAAATCAAAATAAATGTAAATGTAAAATGATTTCCTCAAGTCCCACTGAAGGAAATAAATAAATAATCTGGTAGCACCCCTAATCTAGGTTAAAGAAGTGACCCATTGGTCACCTCCCTACATTGTCTCCTTCCGCAGCCTGCAGTGAGTTGACCACCCCAGCGATGGACCGCAAGCCGAACACGTTTGTGACCGTCAGCTGCACCACGCCCCCCCAGGCCTTCTGGACCAAGCACGCCCAGACGGAGATCATAGAGGTAAAGTCCCCGCCTTCTCAGGTGGCACGTCGCTCTGCTGGCAGTCGCTGGTGTCACTCAGCTGAAGAAATGCCCATTTTCTTCTTAAATTGTTCAACTGCTTTAAAATTCTAAGTCAAATTCACCTCAGACTATTCTCATCTTGTTGTCAGATGCTGCCACAAGGTACAGTCGACTCTTCCACATTGCGGGGGTTGGGGGTGCACCTCCCCCTAGGGGTGGGGCAGGGGGATAGGGGGGACGCTATGAGCCAAACTTCCAAACCTTCACTGTTCATTTATTTTCTGAATTTATGAGTAAACATTTTGTGTGTCATCTGTTGACCTTCGCATGTTGTCCCAAAAAAAACCCCCATTTAATTTTTTATTCCAACCCTGCAACATGTTAAAACCGCGACAGGGAAAGTCGCGACACAGAAGAGTCGACTGTATATATTTTTTTAATCTGTTAATGCACCATATTCAGTTTTTCGACCCCCACCACTCTCTAAGTGTTTTATGTACATGTGCATACCCCATCCAGATAATCAAGGATTTTATAATGACTAGAAGGAAAATCAGATATGTAACTAGGTGGGGTGCAATTGTTCTGCAGTGTTTAATACCTCTAAGGCAAGGGTATCAAACTCCAGTCCTGGGGGGCCAGAGCCCTACATATTTTTGGGTTTCCCCTCATTTAACACACCTGATTCAGCTTCTTGCCCCTCCTTGTGCTAAATACCACACAGCTCTTGATGTGTTTAGCTTTAGTTTAAGCTAAACGTGGTTCAGCAGGAAGTTAATCTCGGGTAAGTAATTGTAAATTTGGTTAATTAAAAAGTTAAATTTAAAGGTTGTTATCGCTGACGCTGCCGGATAATTTATAATAAAGTACCGATTTAACGCAAGTGTTAATTTAGTGTTTTAGTGTACTCGGCACTCTGTTTTAACTATACGTTAATTAGATCAACTAAAAGTTTATATATTCTCTATTAATATACTGGGCTGGGAGTAAAGGACGGGAACATAGTGAGTTAGGTCATCATGTGGCCAGCCCAGTGTTGTGTTTGCAAGATGTTTGCCCTTCTGGATGCTTGCGTCCAGTCGGACTTCGTCT